AGAGAGATCGACGGTGATGTGACTAACAGTTAGCCACGTCACCATTTAACTGACAGAGATTAACGTTATATATAAAATTAAAAAAAAATTAGTTAGATATTAAAATAAAAAAAATTCTGAGGTAATTTTTTAAAATAAGTCCTATTTAGAAGTAGTTAAAAGGTATTTAAACCTTTTTATAAATTTAACTCATAAAGAGGCTAAGAGTTATAAAGTATTGGTCAACCCTCTTTGTATAAATAATTTTTAAAAATTTCATAAAGTGGAATTAAAATTCTTTATCGAAATAAAAAAAATTGAAATATAAAATATTTGAAATAAAGTACTGATCGGGAGCAAGAGGTGCACTTTTGCAGTATGTTTTGTCTTCACGTTGCTTTTTGTTATTTGGTAAGTTTAATTTTCTGTCATAACACAAAGTGGTAATTAGTATTAACCAAATAAATGTCAGTTTTCTATTAGTTGGGTTTTGTTATTTGGTAAGTTTAATTTTCTGTTAGTTGGTTTTAGTCAGTAATATAGTAATTAGTTTAGACTTGTAGCAAATATATTTATTACTCGATAGCTTTATCAAATGAAGCACAATTTCAAAATTAAAATAATTTTATAAAATAAAACAGAATTTCAAAACCTATAAAAAATAAGACAAAGTTTTACGCGTTGACATATAGAAACAAGGCAAGGAACATTACGCAGTCACTTACCCGTTAACATGTTTTATAGTTATTGGAATTTTATTTTAGGCATAAAATTTGATAAGATTGCTTGTTAAGACCTCTATTTTTGGATGCTATGGGAAAAAGAGAGGTATGCTCTATTTTTTTAGTTCCGTCGCTTCCCATTTTGAGAGGAAGTGAAAAAGGGTGTACAAGAGAAGTTCTTTTTTAATATTAAAGTAAAAAAAAATTGTAAGAAATATTATTATTACTAAAAGTATTGTTATAAACAAATTAAAAACTTTTAGATTGAGTATTTTAAATTTTTATGAATATTTTTAATACATTAAATAATATTAATGTTGAATTAAATATATAATATAAAAAACTATTCACAATTTAAATTTCTTAAAATTATAAAATTATATATTTTTGTAAAAATTTATTTTATCAAATTGCATTTTTTGTCTTCCAGTGTAATTTTCAAATTTAATTTCATCTGGTATTGGTTTGTGATCTCAAAGATTACGAAGTCGTTGTTCATGCAATAAGGTGTTTGCGATAGCAGAGTGGGAGTGGGACCACAAAAACAAAAAAAGACCGATATCTACAACGCAACAAACGGATCAGAAGAAAAATAATTTTTCAAAACCTGAAATATAGGACAGTGTTATCTAGTTGACATATAAAAACAAGCCAAGGGCAAGACGTAGTCACTTACAAAGCAACAGAGGAATTTGAAGAATAACATGCAACATAACAGCATGAGTGACACCAGAGAGAAAGGCTACTCTAGTACTGCTTGTGAGACTCGTAGTGAAGTGCAAGTGCATATTGACAACCATTCGCGTCCAGTTCACAACGCTCCAAGAAAGAAAGTCTCTCACTGGACAGCAGAGGAACACAGGTTTTCTTCTTTTTCTTTAATTGTATTATTTTGTTCAATACACACACCCACAGTTATGTGACTTATGACTTTAATAATGTATAATAAATTTCACTTTATTGTTCATAAATAAGTGGTCTATCACAAAATTTTGTCACGTTCGTTTTGTTCTACATTTTTTTTTAATACATATTGTCCCTTAATAATTTCATACTCTATTTTGCATTTTGTATAATAGGTTATTTCTTCAAGGGTTGAAGAGATTTGGCAAGGGAGATTGGAAGAGTATTTCACGGTATTGTGTTGTGTCAAAATCTCATGTTCAAATTGCTAGTCACGCTCAAAAATATTTCCTTCGCCATAGCAACAACAATCAGAAAAAAAGAAAAAGCATCCATGACGAAACCTTAGAGAATAACTCCATCACACTTGCACCTTCAGAGATTGACTTGGTTCCAAATCACTTCAATTCAGACAATGGCTTGGTTCTCCAGCATGCTGACCATCATAACGTTCCATCTTTTAACCATGAGTTGGTCCAACAACACATTCAACAGTACAATCCAATTGGCCAACCACATCAAATGATCGGATCCCAACACGATTTGCAACCTTTGCCTGAGCAGATTGACTTCTCTTGCTCACTTCCTCCCTCAAATATACTGTAGTTGCCTCGCCACATCAGTTCTAATGATTGGAATGACCTTTTTCTTCGTCTTCAACTGCAGCAATTTCCTCACTTGATTGACTATCATGATTAGATTACTCCACCCCACTTTTAAGTGCAATATGGTCAACACTTATGTAAAAATTTTATTTCACTAGACAATGTACTTTTTTACACTTTGTAGCATCACGTTATTGTTTGAATTGATTAATTTTGTATTAAAAAATCAACTAATATTTTATGTTAAAAATTTATTTATCTTTATTTTGATATCTTTGAAAGCAATTTGGTTTGAATAACAATATTTTTTAATAAAAATATATAAAAATAAAAAATATAAATATTTTTAAAACTTGAAAGTATATTCAATAGAGTGATTTTTAAAATTTTTTCACATGCTCTAGCTAATTGCATTTTTTCCAAGAATTTCGCTTCTAATATTAATGAATTTTACGTTAGAAATATTGACAACCTGAATTGAAAAAAAATTTAAAGTAATATCATAAAAGATAAAAATAAAAATATTAAATAAGACTGATAGAAATAATTTAAATAGTTGTATCTAATAATTTAATATTGGACGGCTCTATTCAAGTTTGAAATTATATATATATATATATATATATATATATTTTTTTTTTTTTTAAATGACTCATCGAAATAGATTGAAAATACATTATAAAAAATTAAAAAAAATTAAATTTCTAAAATTAAATTTTTTTATAAAAATTCTGTTGCATAAAGATTCAGTTTTATTTTTCTGTCTGTTAGTTATTCGTTATCCAGGCATACAATCTGTCACCATAACTACTTTACCCTTTTTTTTTTAATTATTTCTACACGCTGCGCAACTGTTGCTACATATGTTTGCGAATTGCGATACTGTGTTTTTCTTTTTTATAATTTATTTTTTAAAACAGTTTTTTATTGAACAGTTTAAAAAAATATTTAACAGTTTTAAAAATTGAAAATGAAAAAAAATTGTTAAAAATGATTTTTAAAATTTACATAAAAAATATTTTTATTTTTATTTTATTTTTAAAAACTAAAAACAGAAAACACGCCATAAGTTTTGTTTATTGTTTTTATTCTATCAATGAAAATAGGAAATCCGTTTGTGATTTTTGAATCGTCACTGAATCTTATCGTTAGTGTACTTGGTTTTGGGTTTATATTAACTTAATGATGTCTCTCATCTTTCTTCACATATTTTTCCATGACTAATTTGAATACATTACCTTAGCTTTTGGAGTTATTCCTTTGAACACCTTTGGTTGGCATGTCGAATATGTAGCCAAGTTTGAGGTTTTGGCTTGTCCTTTTTTATTATCAACGATTGTTATGAGAAGCCATAAACATCATGAATCCATCCATGTATGTGATTCTGTGTAGGTGCTGTCGATTTGGCCTGTGTGTATTGTTTGGATGGGTTCTGTGTTGTTATTGGCTATATTATTTTGTTCAAAGTAATAAGACGCATTTAAATTAGTTGAAGTTGTCAATTCAACAGATTTTTACATTTAAGAACTAATATATTTGAAGAGTAGCTTAATTTATGATAACAATTTTGGTAGAATGAATACTATCCTGTTCATTTTAGTCTTAAAATAAAAACTAAGAATTTTCTTTTATCTTCTATGATCATGTATCACTAAATAATTAAATAAATTATTTTCGAACATATTCTTTAAAATATTTATTTTGTAATATGTTAAAATATTATTAAATAATCACAATGTTAAAAACTTTATACTAATGATGAATTCCCAAGTTTTATATATATTTATTTGAACTATTATCTTGCTGATATAAAGACTAAATTAGTAAATTGATCTTTTTACTTTTAATTTTGTTTTGATTAGATTTTATAATTATTTTTTGTTTTATTTTAGTTTTTAAATTTTAAAAAATGTATTAAATAAGTTTATATATATATATATATATCTAGAAAATATCTTCTCATATTAGTATGAGTCTAAAAATTTATACTTAATCTGAGTTTTTTTATTTAACTTAATCAAATAATTAGTAAAATAATAAAAATATTTTATTTTATTTATTTTAAAAAAATAATTCTTTTTAAATATTAGGATTTGAGTAGATTTATTTATACACTTTGGTGGTTTTCTTTATAAAGTTTTAGTCGTCTTTTCTTTTTTCAAGTAGTTTATAGTTTTTTTAAAGCAATTTTTTATTCTTATTTGTTCTTAATAAATAAAATTAGTGAAAATTAAAAAAAATAAATAAGAATAAATGTTGATAGTACTATTAAGTTTAATGATCTTATTACACCATGGTAAAATTACTAGTTATAATATTTTTTTAAAAAAATTAACTAACTTTAATTGCTTTAATTTATTTGTATAATTTAGTTAAACTAACCATTTAAATACAGATAAAAATAAGAATTTATTTTTTAAATGCATTGTTAGTGTAAAGATTTTTACACTGTCACCTAATTAAAATATACAGTAAATATTTTATATTAATTATTAAAAAAGTAAAGATTTAGTGCTAGTGTGAAAAATTCTTACACTATCTAAGTATTTAAATTAAAATGTAAAATAGTTACATAATTTTCTACAAAATTTTCTTATAAATTATCATATATATCAAATAAAGGAAAAAATAATATGTTTTACATTTTTAAAAATTAATTAAATATATTCATATTTTTATTCAACATTTACTTAATTAAGTATTAAATGGATCAATTAAGAACAAAGTCAGAGCACAGTTTCGATAGATTATGAAAAACTATATTAAGATTAGGTTACAATTACAAATGTTTCACATAGGAAAGAAGGGTGGGAGTGGGAGTGGGAGTCGGTGTACAACTAACTACAACATCAACTTCATCCCCAAATCAAACTTCGGTGGCTTTTCCTTTCTCTAACGATTGTTTAACCAAACCCTACCCTTCTGGGTCTTTGAAATTTTCATCCTCGTAATGGGTTCCGAAGGATCCAGCGTCGTCGGTGAGCATTCAACACTTCCATTTTTCAATCATTTCCCTTTCCGATTGATCAAAATTTTCCATCGTTAAATTGTTTTTTAGCCCCTTTTTTTTTCTTAATTTCTTCAATGATTCTGTGATCTTGTTGTTCCCTAATTGAGTAGCCTTTGCGTTTGTTCTACTTCTAAAGATAATCTACTGTTTCTAATTGCGTTCTTTCTGTTTTGGGTTCGTTTTACGTTTAAAATTTTTTAAGTTTTGAATCGGGTGCTAGGTTTTGTTTGAACGTGGCAATTGGGTTATGATTAGTTGAATAGAAATGACTTGAGATTTTGGAGCAATAGTTCAATTGGTTTTAATTTAGTTGTGAAGGTAGGAGAGGGGATTGTTCGTTTGCTTCATTTTTTCTCTCCGCAGAATAATTATCAAATGCAATGACTAATTATCAAATATATACACTTTGTTTATGTACTGTTTTGTGCAACTATAAATGTAGTAATATACTGGAACTGTATTTTTCAACTTATTGGACAATTCTAAATTATGATGCAGTGGTACAATGATAATGCCTTCCTAGTTCTATTTGTTTCTTAATTCTATTAATTATCTTCCTAGTCATACTCAGTGTTATGGACTTAGCTCAGGTTTTATGTCATCTTAGATTTATCACAAGGTACTTGTATCCACTGCTTGTTAGTAACAACAGCCAAGTTTTATCTCACTAGATGCTGTTGGCTTTGTGGATCACACTGCTTGTCAGTAGCAAGTTCAATAATTGTTGGGTCAATTGATAAATCTGAAAGCATTGATGACTCAGTTGATGTTGCGTTAAACCTTCTATTAGTTAGCTGTACATCAGGAAGGGTGATAACAGTTGCACTGGTTGTTTACTTCTGACATTGTTAGCCAATTTCCACTAATTGTGGGTATAAGACCGATTCTTCATTGTCTTTGGTTAACCTTTGGAACTACCTACCAATTTCATGTTTCAAAAACCTTATAATTTATGAAATTTCGTCATGAAAACAGAGTTTCAAAGAAAATTTGGTATTTTCTTTTGAAATGTTTTGAAGTGAAGGATATATCTAAGTAGGAAGTTCTTTTATGCAAAGAATGAACCATTATCTTTACACATCTGTCCCTTTTTCCCATACACTAGCCACACTCTTTGCCTGGAAAATTATCTTTGGAACCACTCCATTCTCTTTTACCAGTTTTGTGGATATGCTATGTGTGAATAGCAACCTTGTGAAAATTCTATGATAGAGAATGAAACATACAATTTTATAAAATCTTTCATTTAATCAATCTTATAAAATCTTTTTTTTAAAATGTTTTTATAAAAAATATAATTTATCAATGACTACCTCCATCAATCATTATAACTATTTCATTTAAACAGTTGGCTTTAATAGGACTTAGATTTGAAATTTACTCTTAACTTATTGGTTTGCTGCAGTTCCTAGGAATTTCAGATTATTGGAAGAGCTTGAAAGAGGTGAGAAGGGAATTGGAGATGGAACTGTTAGCTATGGAATGGATGATGCTGATGATATATACATGCAGTCTTGGACTGGGACTATCATTGGTCCACCTGGTGTAAGCTGATTTCTGATTTTCTACAACAATAATATCTTTTTCTATTATAATTTATTTTTTATACTTTAGGACCCCCTGCTAATATCCCCTAGTTGCTTCAATATCAAATTAATTTTTTTGGATTTCAATGAGTTGTTTGTTTACTTATTCTTTTAGTAATATGTTACAAGTTAATAATCAGATAGTAAAGTAGTATATGAGTTCTTCAGACATGGAAAACTCTGGCATATGTGAAATTTTGAGGATTGAATGTTGAATGATAATAGTTATAGATAAAGGTACAATTAGTATAAATAATAGTACACTATTGTTGCTCAAATGTTTAGACGTGCAAATGTTTACTCTATAGGCATATTGCATGTTCTATATCTTACAATTTTGGTCGGTTGTCATTTGTGGTGGCCATAGGGTACATACCAATATTTCAATACAAATTGGACTGGTCGTTAAACCAAAATGAAGAATTTCAAGGTTTTAAGTTTTACCCGGTCTACAGAAAGGCCATTTAGATCTAAGCTCTTTTTCATGGTATCAATTAACCTTAATTTTTGGGTCATCTTTCATTTGGTTAATTCTTCTTAGATCTTACTGAGGGAGATTCTACCATATTTTTCCTCCATAAGTACTACTCCTATTTTGTCTTTTTGGTTTCTGATCTTATCTCAATTTGTGTCCCTTCATTCATCCAATATTGTCATCTCTTTAACACTTTCAGTACGTAAGGCATAGTAGGTCTTATGGCTGTATGGTTAAGTTTTTCTTTGTGCTTGACAAGCACATTTCCATTGCAAATAACACCTCCATTTCATCTGCCTGCTTGAATCCTATAATTTCACATATAAATCACGCATGTAATAAAATACTTTTGCATCAATATTAAATATTCTTATTCACAAAATTATAAGAATACCCTCATTCCTTTAACATAAAATATATAATTTATAGAACGATATCAACTGCCTTAAATGTTTTTCAAAATTAACTCTACACTCTCTTCTAAGCCCAGCTACCTATTTCCTTGTTTGACTCCCACTTCTCTTGTTGATCAATTTGTAACCTTGTTCACAACTAAAAGTTTACTCTATCTTAATCTTTCTCTTTCACTTTCACTTTCACTTTCACTCTTTGGAATAAGAGGTTGCTTGAAGACCTCATCATGGTCCTATTCATTGAGAGAGTGACAATTGATTCTAACCAAAGTCATCCATTTATTCACCATCCATTTTTGGTGGTCCAGCTTTATTGGTGGTGACGACAGATCAGGCAGGTAGGGGATTTTCCTGCGACACAATAAGAGCTTTCTAGTCATAGTAGTCAATCATGGATAGCGGCACGGAGTGGCCAATCTCAAAATAGCGGTAGTGGAATGACTGCTATTCTAAAGTTTTAATACACATATACAAGCTGAAATATAAAATTAATACACAAATTTGGAACAAAACAAAAAGGAAAACTCAAATCATAGAAGGAAATAAATAATAAACAGCGAAGGGTGCAGGAGTCATGTAGTCAAAATTGAGATTCTACGTAGGATCGGAGAGGGGGTCCAGGATCGTAACACGAAACGTAAGATCTTACAAAATTGTATATATACATATAAAATAATATAAATAGGAAGAAAATAAAAACATTAATTCAAACCACAGTACTTTAAAAGATGAATATTAAGAACATGTCCAACATAAACATATTCCAAAGTTCTAAACCAAATACAAAATCAATATCCAAGCTTTAAATATCTATTTTATCATATCTAAAATATTTTGATAATAAAAAAATTCGTCATTTTCTTCATCATCTTTATTTGGCCCATCTTCTTCATTTGGTCCTTCATTTCCTTCATTATCTAAATTGTCTATATTAGGAACATCACCAACACCAACATCTTGATTTGAACCTTGATCTAACTCCAAGTCCTCATCTTCATTAAGAGTATCAACCTTGATGTCCTCATCTTCTAAATAATTTCTAGGCCTAAATCTTCATGATTTCCTTTATCATTATTTTTCACTATCCACTCATTGTCAGATGGAATATCATCTACATTTATGTGAAGATCCTTCACTCTCCTAGCTGTCTTCTTCTTGGCCAATTTTGAATTTGCCATAACAAATACCACATCATTCATTGTATTTTGCTTCAAACGGTTTCTTCTTTTAGTATGCACCTATCAAATAATAATAAATTATAATCTAAGATACGAAAAAATAGTTGGCTAGCCTAGTACATAATTTTAGAAAAAAGAATTTCTACTTACCATCTCAAAGGCACTCCAATTACGTTCACATCCAGAAGAATTACATGTCGAGCGTAGTATTCGAATAGCAAATCTTTGAAGCTCAGGATACTCATTTCCATGAGACATCCACCAATCATTTGGCAGACGCATATCAATAGTTTTTCTAGCCAAGTGACTACCAAAATTACCAGCTCGCTTTCTAAATAAATAAAGTTGACAATCGATTTTACATTGTTCATCTTGATCAAGCACTGTCCTTGTCAAACAATCATGTAGTCCACGCTTAACTTCAAGATCAGCTTTAAATTTAGGACTATAGTGCATCCTAGGATTAAGAAAATAGCCTGCAACATGCAAAGGCCTATGTAGTTGTTTATCCCGTCTTTCATCTATGATATTCCATATAGGTACGTAATTGATAAAGAGCAAACAAAAGGATTCAATATACAATACAACATAGATCACAAAATAGAGACTAATTTAATTTGACAGTAGTTATAGTTAGTTACCTTTTCTTAACACTATTGAAAGCAATTTGAATATTCTTTTTAGCTTGATCCATTGCCTCATAAATAAAGCCCATACTTTCTTCATCTGAATCAACCATTCGAAGAACTTTGATAAGAGGAAATGCTGCCTTTAAACAAGTGATTATATTCTTCCAAAACTCTTTATCCAAAATCAATTTTTCTATAACTCTCCCACCCTTTGTCTTAGCAAACTTAGGACTTCCATTCATTAGATGTGAACATTCTCATCAAAGTAACTCTATTTTTTGAAAGGCACCCTAGAGTCAAATAAGATGTAGCAAAACAAGTAATTCCTGACCTTATCAAATCTTTGCCTTTGGTAAAATGTTGCAATAGAGAAATAAGACCTGTCCTTGAATAGATGTAGGTTGTAATTTTTCTACCTTTTGGAATTGTCTCTTCATGAATCTGTATCTTCTTCTCAAAGTCCTCCAACATCAAATCAATGCAATGTGCTGCACAAGGGGTCCAATACAACTATACAAGTGTTTCCTTTTTTGCATCAACATCTCCCCTTTATAATTTGCTGCATTATCATTCACAACTTGGACTATATTTTTCTCACTAATTTCTTCAACATCATCAATTATTTTAAATATTTTATCAGCTGTTTTTTTCTATATGAGATGCATCAATAGACTTCAAAAAAATAGTTCCTTTAGGGCTATTCACCAAGAAGTTTAATATTGTTCTCCTCCTCTTATCAGTCCACCCATCAATCATTAATGTGCATCCAACAATATTCCATTTATGTTCTTCTAATCTCTCCTTTGTTGACTATATTTCCTTCTTAAATACTTTACTCTAGTTTCATGATAGCTTGGTGGTTTAAATCAAGGACCATGACTAGCAATTAAATCACACATAATAGAAAATTCATCACTTCTTGCCACATTGAATGATATGGCATTATTATAAAAAAGCCTTCCAATAGCTTGACAAGCCTCCTCTCTTCTAGTTTTGTTGAATATATTGTTGATTGTTGCTTGGGTGCTCTTTTTCCGAAAAATATTTCTTCCTCCAGTCACCTCATTCTCACTTGTTTTTCTTTTGCTTCCACTACTTGTATCTAAAGTCTCTTTCTCAGTAGAACAGTCAGCAAAGGAATTTGATTTTTTATTCAAATTTTCTTACATGCTTGCAAGTAAATTCCACATTTGCTTTTTGACCTCATCCGGAACAGATTTGCATGCTCTAACATCTTTGGCTGTTTGAGCCAAGTGATGCTTCAATCTATAAGCACCTCCACTTACAATTTTTTGACAATATTTGCATTGAATTTTTCTTGTATCTTCAATTGCAATCCCATGTTGCCATGCTACATCATTTTTGTTTCCCGATGCATTTTTTTGTAATGACTTGGAGGGCGGAGCATGACTACTGGTTGAAGCCATTTTATCTAATGGTAGCAGACAACCGTAGCACAGAAAGCATAGCACAAAAACAAAAGATGAAGAAAATCCCAGTCACACATAATAGCCCAGATGATGAAGATGAAGAAAAAAACAGAGCACAAAAATCAGAAAATCTCAGACCCAATTGCAGAAAAATTTGAGTCGCCGGAGCTAAGCCCAGTTGCCGGAGCCAAATCCCAGTCACCTGAGCCAAGTCGCAGTCGCCGGAAAAATGCAGAGAAGTCGAACAGCAGAGTCGGAGGAAGAAGTATCGCAGAACAGAGTGAAGAAGAAAGGTAGAAATCACAGCGTAGAAGTTTTGGGATTTTAGGTTTCCAATCCCTTTAATGTAGTCGGGTTGGGTCGAGGGTTAAGGGGCCCAAAAGGTCTTTTTTTTTGGCTCGTCGGGATCGTGCGTTTTAACGATTTTACGTTCCAACAAGCATGATCCTACCAAATCGTGTTTCCATCACTGATTCAACACGGAAGCTTGGCTGGAGATCGTAGAATCCTACGATTCTACGAGCCGAGACGCTATTTTGACTACCTTGGCAGGAGTAGCCATTGCTTCTATTTTAAGCTTTGAAATTTGAAACAAAACAGTTGGAGAATCAAAACAGAGAAGGAAATTAAAAAACAGAGAAGGATAATAGAAAAACAAATGTTTAGTCACCGGAAAATGTGCAGGTTCACCAAAGATGTAGAAGATGACCGGAAAATGTGTGGGTAAAGTTGAAAGCTTCGCTGAACTTGAAGAAGATGACCGCGGATGAAGACAATGATTGAAAACAATCTGCATCATGTCTGAGGCTTCACCGGAGATGAAGAAAATGACCGAAGAACGTCTTTGTCATGTTAGAAGCCTCACTAGAGATGAAGGCCATCGGAAGCAATGGAATCATAGAGAATAGAGATGAAATGAGATGCAAGCTGAGAGATGAAATGAGAAGCTTAGGGATCACAAGAGGGAGGGGGAAGATATTAGAAAATAAGAGGGGGGTGAAATCCCAAGATTGTCTCCCTTAAAAGTCGCCCAATGTTCAGAAACAGAGGGCAAGTTTGGAATTTCAGCAAGAACAGAATAGTGGCTGTGACAGCTGCAATTTCCGCCATTTTTGGCCGCAATTCGCCATTGGGTCTCCATAGCAGCACTGCTGTAATAGCAGCCGCTATGGCCACTATTGACTACTATGTTTCTAGTTTGGAATGAGGTTGTTCCTTCTTCTCCCTAAGCTTTATTGCTATAGTCTGTTTTTCCCTTTTGGATTTTATGATTGAGAAATTGTCAGGTTTGGGTTTTACCATGGCTGCAAACCATTCTGCAAGGTCATCATGGTAATTTGGTTCAACCATGAAGACAAAATAACAAAAATAACTGGTATAAATACTATATATGCTGCAAGATTTTCCAGTGTCTCCGCAAATTTCTAGAACATGACATAGAAGTAAAAACTTCAACTCTACATAATTAAACTTTGGGATGGGGAGGACACCCTTTTAAAATTTGCAAGTGTTCCCTTCCAACCACACGCACCATAGAACTGCCAAATTTGAACTCTTCCAGAAAACCTTAGTCTCCTTTTTATTACAACCTTTATATTATTCCATAAAAAATGCTCTAGTGTAGTGGGACACACCTATTGTTCTTACATTCTAATAAAGGTCATTACAAAGTGAATAGCCACTTAACAAATCAATAATTAAATTTCCTTTTGCTTCTGAGTTAGACTTGTAGTGTGACAAACATAAGAGAGTGAGGTGAGATCATAGTTATCAATAGCTGCCATAGCAGCCGCTATTGTGACGGAGTGCAGTGGAGCAGCATAGTCCTGGTATGGCGACCTTGTAGTGTTGCTGTTCAGTGTCATGGCTGTCGTGCAGGAAATCGCGGCTGTAGCGGCTGCTATACTGTTCTCCCTAAAAATTCCGAATCTGCCCTCTGTTTTTTAACGCTGAAAGGGGCAATCTTGGGATTTTGCCCCCCTTTATTTTTTGAATCTTCTCCCCCCCTCTTGCAAACCCTAGCCCCTCAACTCAGCTCTCCTGATACAACCCACACAAGACAGATAACAACAGAAGTAAATAATCCAAAGAAAAGGGAAAAGATGTTTGTATTATATGATAGAAAAAGGAAATTACAAGAGAAGATCCCCTCTGTCCCTAGCGCCTAGCTCCTTTAGAGTCACCCAAAAGGTTCTCTACCCACACCAAATTAGCCAAAAGCATGAATGAATTCTCCTCATCCCAATTCTGATATCAAATAACAGAATTATTCTTTCTCTTTCCTCTAACTACCCTTGTTCCCCTACGGTTGGCACCTCAGCACTCACATTCCCTCTCTTTTTCTTCTTAACACATACTTTCCAAGTCACAGGCCCTTCACCTTGTGTTTGGGCCAAAGGCTCTTGAGGCCCTTTGTTCACTTGGGCCTCATCATCTCCTCTCGGCTCTCCTTTCATTTCATATTTGTTTCCACCACTGGAGTGTGGCCTTCATCTTTGGCGAGACTTCTAACAAGAAAGAGATGTTTTCCAATCATTTTCTTTATCTCAGGTGAAGCTTCTAATGTGACCTAGATTATTTTGAGTCATTTTCTTCATCTCTTGTCGTCTTCTTCAAGGTCAGCGAAGCTTCTGACATCACCCAAACACTTTCCGTTCATCTTCTCCATTTCCAAAGAACTTTCTGGCGAATTGCAAACTTTCCAGTGATTGAATACTTAGTATTTTTAAACATCTAAGCATTAGACTTAAATTATTTAGTTCTTATATTTTGTTGTTACTTGTTATTGACATTTGACATGTGTTATGTTTTTAAATTTTTACTTTTAATCATTAATATTGCATATGTTTTTAAGTTGGGTCTTAAATTTATTCTTTTACCATATTTATGTGTGTAACTTAATTTATATGGGTATATATTTATGTGTGTAACTTAATTCATATGGGTATATATGGGTATATTTATAATGCCTAAAATAACGGTCATCTCGTTATCCGCTATCTCACTATTGCATTTTTGGGGTCAACCGCTTCGCGCTGCTATTCGAGATTAACTACTATGGGTGAGATCTTCAAAGTTGCATCCAATCATTTCAAACATTTTACTAATCCTGTTAAGTACTTCCATCTGAACAAAATACATATCTAAGAGTGTGCTTTGGATTTCCAAGTGGACTTGTCAAACACAAATCATTGTAAGAGTGAGGTAACAATGTATTAGGAGAAAAAGTTAGGTTAGTTCTTCAAATATGCATCAAGTTATTTGTCCTAATCCTGTCAAGTACTTTCCATCTAAACAATTGACCTGACTTAAGAGGGTGCTTTGGAATTCCAAATGGGTTTGCAGTGGATGAACCACTATAAGGCCAGCAGTGTAAGAAACTGAAGGAAACATCTGAAGGTGAAAAGACTAGAAAACCATGGTCTGATCTCTTCTATCGAAATTGATTCAGACTTCAGAGTAGAGTAAATCAAAAGGGGTTTGAGTTTACTTGTTTCTCTATTATTCAAGTCTCTATGAAAATAAAAATCCCGATCTAAGGAATGATCTTGAATTCTTGATTGAAAATATGAATATAAGTGGATAGTGGGTAGATTGAGCATAGTAGACAGATAAAAGAAGAAAAGAACAGTCTCTTAAAAAGGAATGTCTGTCCACCCAGAACATTATAGTAATGTCACCCAAACGGTGAAAGCAACCAATTGAATAAAGAAAGCTTTCCCTTGGGAATTAAACTTCCTAGAGTTAGCATGGATAGCTATGGGCTTGGTTGTGCATCATTTTGATCAAGGCCAAACCTGCGCTGATTTCCTTGGTGCCCCAAAGAATTAGTCTATAAAGGATCTCCCAAAGCCATTTAATCAACTGAGGAAAAGATGATTTGGAAATGTGAGAAGAAGACTAATGGAGGATAGTCCAATAATTAGAGGTTGATGAAGACCAAAGAAAACTGAGTTGAAACCATTAAAAAAGATCGGCCACTCAGAAGGTTGGCTTTGGACAGAAGCCAATGGTAACAGTGTCATTTGATTCATGCGGTCAACCTTCCTTTTCGCAAAAGGCTTTGGTGGTAGTTTTTCACAGCAAGTGATATCTTATGCAAATATGTTTGATGAAATAATAAAAATAGGTAATAATGATATCATAAATGAAATTAATATTTCTAAATAATTAAATCCCATTTATTTTTACACCACCATTATATGAATTAATTTTCCTCTCTGCTAATTATTTCTTAATTCCAAAATTAATGTGTGCTTTGCCCCAGTTTCTAGCTGCTAAGCAAAACTAAGACTATTATGTATCTATTATACTGATATAGCTTCTTTTTCCTGTCCATTTTGTTATTTTACCAGACTGTTCATGAAGGACGTATATACCAGTTGAAATTATTTTGTGGCAAGGACTATCCAGACAATCCTCCATCTGTTAGATTTCAAACAAGGATTAACATGACATGTGTCAATCAAGAAACTGGAGTGGTAGGTGACATTTTTGTGGAGGCTTCACTACTTTGGTATGATTGAAATTGAACTTATTAATCACTAAATTACCAGGTTGAGCCACATCTGTTCCCGATGCTGGCTAATTGGAAACGCGAGTGTACAATGGAAGACATTTTGATGCAATTGAAGAAAGAAATGATGTCTCCACAAAATCGGAAGCTAACTCAGCCTCCTGAAGGTGTGTAAACCTTATTTTTTAATTGTTGCTATTGTTTATATCTATATTTTATCAATTGCTATGTGGATTAATGCCTTTCATAAATTGTAGTAGTTTCTATATGATTATCTTGTCAATGGTGTTATAATGTAGGCAAAGATGTAAGTCATTATATTACTTTGGAAGTTAGTCATTATAAAATGTGAAAATGACAAATCACTTGTGAGCTATTCTATTCAGAATTTAAAATTGTTAGAATGGTTATGACTTAAGATTTAATGATGGCTAGTTCTTTCTTCAAGTAGTCTTAGGAGGTGTTTTTGTTTGTTGGATCCTTGAACATGAGATAATGTGTTATACTCCTGGTCCTTTATATAAGTCTCATTTAACAAAATTATTCAAATCAATAAAAGTTAAAGTTAGTTGATTTTCTTGATTTTTTGAAAAGTATTACAACATGTCAATTTTACTTTCATTTAATTTTAACCTAACCACCCCACTATCAACATTTAGTCTTGTTGGTTTTAATTTAGGTTCCCATCAATTCTATTTTCCAATGGGAAAAAGATAATAAATCTTTCATAGAAACTGTAAAGTGCCTTATAAAAAAGACTACAAAAACCTTCTAGAAGGTGCTTTATAAAAGGACTAGAGGGAGTATTTGTAATGATAATCCCAACATATTTTTAGATTTTTCTTGAATCTGTGATGAAACATATATATTACTGCTTTGTAGATTTAGTTCTTGAAACTTAGATTTTTATTCCGTTTGATTAAATGTGGTTGGCCTTCGACTTCTGGCCCAATTATTGTGTTCTCAGTTGTAGATGATTTACTTATTTATTATCTTTCAACTCAACTTTATACATGCGTACTATCTGCCACTCTCTAAGCTATATGAAATTTTGCAATCTAAGATTTTGTTGAAGCTGGAGGGTGAGAATTGGAGAAAAATATAATTCCTTCTCCACTGTAATATACATATTTAATTTACTGACAATTATGCTTATTTTCATGGTATTAAAAATAAGAAAAAGTGAGGTAGAATTTTCACATTTTCTTCAGCAATCAGAGTAAAATTGATTAGAACATGAAACACAGGATCAAATTTATCAATTAAGGGGCCTAGTTGAAAAGAGTAGCAAGGTCTGGGGTCTAAATTGTTTTAATTCCATTCATTTTGTCGGACATACATTGGTAGGGTTTGTTAAGCATTAAGCCTTCGTTGAAGCTGGAAATGGGGCAACCTCCTCTCCCTGCGAAATATTTTTTCACCACTTTCATAATAGTTTCTCCCCATTTCTTACTTTTTCTTTTTGCTTGTTCTTACTTCATTTAATCAATTTTGATTAGATGTTAGCACCATCTTACCTCTGTAGATTGGTTGTTAGAAGTATATTTGTGGTGAATCTTTTATTGTTTAGAGGACACTCGGTGATTAATTTGTATGACTCCAGGCAATGAAGAAGCCAGGATTGACCAAAAGGGGCTGGTGGTGAAATGTTGTATTATGTAATTCAGTGGAGAATCCAAGAGTTATAATGTAAATAACCATATTCAATAGATGATCCAAGTTCATGGACGTGTGCATTTATTATGTAATTATAGACGATTTCCGTATGTTAACTGGAGCAATCATATAGTGACTATCTTGTCTGTGAATTTTTATTGTACAGAGGCTGTTTTTACAGCGAACTCTAATTTGGCAGTTTGAGATCCTTTTTATCTTTGCTTTTATGTGTATCCATGTGTATACTTCTGTCCAGAAATTGTGGGATAACATATTATTCATCATCAAATTGTTTCTCCTTTAATAACGGTGCGCTGAATGTTTTGTTTAAATTAGGTTTAGTCTTTTTTCTTTTCCCTCGTCTTCTTGGTTATTTTAGGCTCCTGCAAATAGATGGTATCGCTTAAGCAAAATACTACAAAAATAAATGATGTTTGATTTCGAACCTACATTTGGTAGGAGCATAGGCAGACACCATTATTTTACAAAACTGGATGCAATGTTGCTTCATATTAAGCACAGGATAACGTATGCCATGCTGAGAAGTTGGCTAAGGCAGGGCTAAAAAAGTCCTGGCAATGGCCTGAGTTAGAAGTGGGATGCATGATGAAGCTTTGTTGCACTGTTTCTCTGGTTATTCAAATCATCCATTTTTCAAAGTATCTGTTTTTGTCCGTTGCATTCATGAGGGAGAGGGACCCAAATTCCCCATTTTTCATTTTGGAGTAACGTGCAAACCTGCGAGCAGGGATGGAAGTAGATCAGGTTTCTCGTGTGTGCCAGCTCGCGTGTATAAAATCATGTTTACAAAATCTCTTTCGAGTTTCAATTTTATATAAACATTACTTTTATAGTAACTAATTTATTATACATGGCTTGGACTCTCTAACTTGAATTTTTAATGTTGCTTTCAACTTGTTGAAACATGTCTGTGACTCAGTTGCTTTAAACCACTTCCAGGATACTCCGTAGTTTCAAGAATTGTTCCAACTTGAGAGGCTTTATCATTATGTCTGCAATCTGTTCTTGTGAACTGCAGTAAATCAACTCTACCACCTTGTCTTTTGTTAAGTCTCTAAGAAAATGAAATCTTATATCAATGTGCTTGCTTCTACCATGGAAAACAGGGTTCTTAGATAACTTTATAGTAGAATTGTTGTTACACTGAATCAAAGTATTCTTCTCCTTTTTATGACCAAGTTTTTCTAACATCCTTCTTAGCAAAATATATTGACAAGCACAAAGTACAGTAGCTATATATTCTGCTTTTGTAGTAGACAGGTTGTTTCTTAGAAGATCAAGAAATTGCTCTATATCCAATTAAGAAAACAAAGCCTGAAGTACTCATTCGATCATCCAAATCACCAGCTAAGCCACTAAATTTGTGCAACCTCCCTTCCTATAAAAAATTCCAAGATATGTTGTTCCTTTCAAATACCTTAGTATTCTTTTTGCTGCAAGCCAATGAGATTCAGTGGGACAAGACATGAATCTGCTAATAAGACTCACTCCATACATCAAGTCGGGTCGAGTTGCAGCGAAGTACATCAGACTTCTAACCACCTGTTTGAACAAAGTTTCATCAACTTTTGTTCCAACTTCATTCTTAGACAACTTCGTGCCTGGAAAATATAGAATTTTTTACTGAATTGCTTTTTATCTATTCCAAACCTTGCTAAAACTTCATGAGCATATTTTCTTTGACACACAAAAATTCCATTTGAACTTTGTATCATTTCAACTCTAAGGAAGTATCTCATCTTTCTCAAATCAGACATGTTAAATTTCAACATCTTTGAATTTTTAAAATCATCACACATACACTTATCGGTTTCAGTATATATTAAATCATCAACATAAAGGCTTACGATTAAGATTTTACCTCCTTCTTTGACTTTGTGAACAATGTGTGTTCACAAGAACACCTTTCAAATCCTTCTTGAAAAAAATAAGCCTCTATCTTGTTGTACCATGCTCTCGGTGCTTGGTTCAAGCCATACTACGCTTTTCTTAGCTTGAAAACTTTGCCTTCTTCACTTTTCTTCTCAAATCCTAATGGTTGTTGCACAAATATTTCTTCATTGAGTTCACCATGAAGGAATGTGCTCTTTATATCAAGCTGAAAAATGTCCCAACTATTTTGCACTACCAAAGCAAGTATCAATCGGACGGTGTCAAGTCTATCAACTAGAGCAAAAACTTCAGTGTAATCAACTCCATACTGTTGTGTATAGCCTTTTGCTACTAATCTTGCTTTGTACTTATCTATCTCTCTGTTCTTATTAAGTTTAGTCTTAAAAATCCATTTAACACTAATTGGCTTTACTCCTTTGGGTAGAATAGTTAACTCCAAAGTCTTGTTCTTTTCAATTGACTTAATCTCTGCCATCATTGCATCCTTCCACTTCTTGCTTTTGACAGCTTCTTCAAATGTAAGTGGGTCATTTTCAGTGAGCATTATTATAGCATTCAAGCTATCTTCATTTGATAACCCTTCACCTATTTCATAATCTGCTATCCAAAATGGTGCTCTTCTAACCCTCCCTTCATTCAGAGTGGGAGAATCATTCTTATGTGGTTCATTAGAAGGTGAAGCAACTTAACTTAAATCTCTTCTATCAACACCATTATCTTGTTCATTGTTATTTACTCCGTCATTAGCATCACTCTCATTATTATCTTTCCACTTTAAAACATCCAATCTGCATTCTTCTTTGTTGTTATCCCAATTCCAGCCTTCATTTTCTTGAAAATCACATCCTTGCTAAAGATGATTTTCCTTGAAACTGGATCATATAATCTATAGACCTTTGATTCATCACTTACTCCTAAGAAAACACATTTCTTGCTCTTATCATCTAACTTGTTTCATTTTTGGTCTAGAACATGCGCATGAGCTAAACACCCGAAAACTCGAAAGTAATCAACTGTTGGCTTCACACCACTCAATGCCTCTTCTGGAGTTTTGTTTTGTACAGCCATAGTAGGACATCTATTAAGGATATGCACAGTCCATTTTATAGCTTCAGGTCAAAACATTTTAGGAACTTGCTCCTTAGCCAACATCAAGCGTACCATGTTCATTATCGTCCTATTTTTTCTTTCAGCAACTCCATTTTGCTGAGGGGTATAGGCTGCAGTCAATTGTCTGCTTACACCTTGATCTTTGCAAAATTCTTCAAACTCTTTTGAAGTGAATTCACTGCCTTTATCTGTCCTCAAACAAGCAATATATGCACTGGTCTCCTTTTCAACACAAGCTTTAAAAATTCTAAACATTTCAAAAGCCTCTGATTTTCATGTAAAAAATATATCCATATTTTTTGAGTGAAATCATCAATAAAACTTAGGATGTACCTCTTATTGCTATTTGATTATGGTTTAATGGGCCCGCATATGTCTGCATGTACAAGTTATAGCTTGCTAGATGCTTTCCATGAACTCTTCTTAGGCATAGAGTCTCTATGTTACTTTCCAGCTAAGCACTATACGCATAACTTCTTTGGGATCTTGGGTGAAGGTAGTCCATTCACCATCTTCTTATAATAAAGTATCCTCAATCCTTTATAGCTTAAGTGACCAAATTGGCAATGTCAAAGATTAGATTAATCTTCTATCATAGTTTGAAAACATGAAGAATATTTGGGTATTAAGGTAGCTAAAAATACAAACATTCTATTGGCACTCATATATGTCTGCATAATTAATCCTTTCTTAGGGTGATATACCCTATACTTCCCATGTTGAATCAAAATACCCAAGCCTTTTTCTTGAAGTTGCCCTATGCTCAATAGGTTATTCTTAAGTTCAAGAATATAGTAAACATCAGAAATTACCTGAGTAAATGCATCCACTTTCATACGAACACTATCTTTTCCTGTCACTGCCATTCTTGTGTCATTTCTAAGCTTTACAGTTTGGTTAAAGCTTTCATCCAGCTCTAAGAGCCATTTCTTATTTCCAGTCATATAGTTATTGCAACCGGAGTCAAGAAACCACACTTCTTCCCTCTTGGCTTGATTGAGTTCAACGTAAGACATTAATAGTAGTTCATCTTCCTCTTGCTCTTCTAATTCAGTATAGTTGGCCTTTCTCTCACAATTAGGACATTTATATTGATAGTGTCCTAATTTGTGAAATTTAAAACACTCAATAACAACTTTATTGAAGGATTGTCTTCCCCTTCCTCTTCCTCGACCTCCTCTGAATGCACCTCTACCTTTCCCTGTTTTGTCTTCATGGGAGATCTTCAAAACCTGTGCTTCTTCTACATGGCTTGTCATTCTTTGCTCATGACCGAGAAGACTACTTTGCAATTCATCAATAGTCATCGTGTCCATGTTGTTAGATTCTTCAATTGAACATACTACATAATCAAATTTTGGGACCATTGATCTCAAAATCTTTGCAGTGATGAGTGTTTCACTTATACTTTCACCATGGGCCTTCATTTTGTTGGCTATGGCTAGGGTGCGAGAAAAATATGCATCCATGGTTTCTCCTTTCTTCATATGAAGTATCTCAAAATTTTTGGGTAAAGCTTGCAACTGGGCCCTTCTAACTCTAGTTGAGCCTTAGAATTTTCACTTCATCGAAGCCCATATACTTTTGGCTGTGTCCCTCTTGAGAATTGTTTTAAGGACTTCACGGTTTATTGCTTGGAAAAGGTAATTATTTACCTTTAAGTCCTTTAACTTCTGCTCCTCGATCAATTTGTGTTGTGCCTCGGTAGGCTTGACTCCATTTGCCATCTCCAATATTCCATTCTCAATGACACCCCAATATTCTTTGGAGCAGAAATTTTTTTCCATCAACATTGCCCAATGGTCATAGTCACCTTCTGCCATTAACTTCAACTCCTACCTGAAAGAAATTAGCAATTTCTTTCGTATCACACTCTCTTACTATTTTTCTCACACTTAGGATAAGTTCCCGATAGCCAGCTTAGATACCAATTGTTGAATAGAACAAAGGCACACAAGTTTTATGAGAGAATGTATGTTTCAATTCAGAAATTAATATTGGATTTATAGCTTTACAAAAGTGAAAACAGAAGCAATAATAGAACCATATTGTACATGACTACAACACGGTGACTAAAAATGAACTCCCATCAGCACATATCTAAAATATAGGAGTTTGTTTACCAAAATGATAAAGTAAAAACAAGAAACAATAAAATAATAACTAACACATATCCCTAAATTATGTGAGATAAAAAATGAGTTTAGCTTATCATTTGACAAAAGCACTAAGCAGAAAACTAATAAACAATAAATCGA